ACTCTGAGGCTAACAAAGATTTGAACGTGTACATGAAGCTGAGCATCAGGACAGACCACACAGTGACTAACCTCATGTTGCTGATGGATGATCTCAGATGAAGTTTGGGCTGTTCTCAGTATCTTTTCATTTGCATTTGCCCATCAGGAACTCTCACATAAACTTTTATTGAGGGGGGAAAGTTAGCTGTGTCGTCCAGCTTCACTGTGCTAATGTGTTTATATTACCATAGCTCTGTAGGTAGAACACCAATATACCTTGAGGGCCGGTGTCCTGCAGGTTTTAGATCCCACCCTGGGTCTACACAGCTGAATCAAATGATTAGTTCATTACTAGCCTCTGGAGAACTGCAAGACATGTTGAGGAGGTAATTCAGCCATTTGAATCAGCTGTGTTGGATCACGGACACATCTAAAAACTGGGGGGAGTTGGGGGCCCCTGACCTAGGGTGACTGAAGGTGGTCCACCTTCAGTCACCCTACAAACGTCACTGCTGTTTAGTTTTCTGTCTTCATTTATGGGACTTCTTTTAACTCCCTGCTAACCTCTAGCTACATGAAACTTAATAAATCCTGTTTCTTATGGATCCCTGGAAGTTAGAGTTTACAACAGTCTGCACCCTGAGACAGCTAATCACACAAGACTTAGGAGGTAGACACCCCAGTAATAAGTGAACTACCTTCATTGTAAATCCACAGTCACCCCTGATGTTACCTGGATAGGACAGGTAGCTTCAGGGTTTCATAGCGCAGACCTCTGACAACTCAAACAAACCTGTTTATTTACCTGTCCAATTGTTTGTCCGCCTCAGGCCGTCTCACACTGACCTCCCATCAGTTTCCACCCCCCCATTGCCAAAAGCGGAGCTCGATGAAGTCCGTTTGTCCGACAACAGCCAGTCTCAAGGTACCCGGGAATGCCTGCCCAGCTCTGATGACGCTTCCTGTCACCCAGCCCGTCCGATGGAAGAAGATGATGCCTGCAGCCAGTCAGGCGACAGAGTGGGCCAGGAGAGGCTGTCTGTACCTATAAGAGAGCAGGACGAAGGCATCATTGATCACACCCACTCTCCTTACCGCAGAGCGCCGGCCTCTCAGTTGGAGACTCCGCCCCCTGTCCATAGGAAAGCCCATAGGAAGACGAACAGGAGGAAAACCAGTGAGTCCTCGTCCTCCTCGCAGCGCCCTGGAGGTCCAGGCCATGGCCCCCAACCCCACCTGACCCCCACAGACCACAGGCCTGGTCCAGGTGAGAGGCCCTGGCTCACCTGGCAGAGGGAGAGGAGGGAGGCCCACAGAGAGGATGCATTCTCCTCAGGCCACACGGACCCTCTGGACCAGACCATCGAGGAGGTTAGTTCCTGTTCCAGTACACTGATGGTTCCCAGGTGGACTTCCTGTCAACCAGTCTCTCTGTTCCACCCGCAGGTGATTCAAAGGTGCTGTTATGCCGCCATTTCCTGCCAAGATGATACAGACAGCTTCCAGCTAAGCCTCCCTGTTTCCATGGAAACACCGAGTGAAGACTGGGACTCGCCTGTGCAGGTACCTGTGGGTCCAGGGAAGAATTGGGCGTGTCCTGACAAGCGCAGACACTGATCACTGATGTCACCTTGCAGGTGGTTTTGCAACGAGCGCGAACTCTCAGTGACACACCTGCGCAGGTGAGTCAGGCGGAGGGGCGGGACCTCTGCCATCTGATGGACACGCAGGTGGACGTGGAAGATAGAGTGTACTCACAGCAGCTGCACTTTGCCCTCCACGGGCCGGGTGACAGGACGGAGGAGGGGTTCTGGACCCTACCCATCGAGGAGGTGAGGCCCGCCCCGGAGCGTATCCCAGAATCCTTCAGGGGGAAGACCTGGACCCAGATCCAGCAGGAGGACGAGGAGAAGGTGGAGAGGCTGGTGAGACAGTTCAGGCGTGGGCGCTTCATCTGCTACTTCGACACAGAGTCCCTCGCCAGGTGAGCCAGAACCTGCCAATATTACAATCCACAGGAAACAAGAAGTCAGCTGAGCTTACATAAAGCTAGTTGAGCTTACCTGACAGGGCTCTAGAGTGCGACCAGTTTGGTTGCAAATGCGACCTAATTTCTCAAAGGTGCGACAAAAAAAAATCCTAGGTTCAAGTAAAAAAAAAAAAAGTCTCCGCAACTCTGACAGTCTCTGTGTGGCCAACAACAGACAACATTATGCCCATATCGTGGTCCAAACCAATCAGAGATAGTCAAGGTCGGGACCTCTCAGGTGCCCATGCACAAGGTAAGGTGTTCAGATATTGAGATGTTCAGTTCAAAACCTTTGAGGCACTTAATTTTGACTTTCTTTTAATTTTATATATCTTAAGATATTTTAAGTTTAAATTTCAGCTCAGTGAAGCACTTTAAGCACAAGAACTTTTTCTGCACCGTATTTTTAGGACTATAAAGCACACTTAAAATCCTTTAATTTCCTCAAAAGTGTGCCTTATGTATGAATTCTGGTTGTGCTTACTGACCACAAAACGATTTTATGTACACGGCGCTCAAAGATCTGTGAAAATGGTTCAGCATCTCTTTGGTAAGCTATGAAGCCGCACCGCTTGATAGATTGTTGGAGCACAGCTGCTACCACAGTCAGGAGCCTCGTGTAGTGATACGCACTGTGCTTCAGCATAATATTACCGTATTGTGTGTGTATAAGGACCCCAAAATGGCTCCTGTTAAGAGACATGCTTACGACATGGATTTCAAACTCTTATCAGTCACGCAGGAATAGAGCAGCTGAGAGAGAATTCAACATTAATGAATCAATGATACAGAAGTAGAGGAAGCAAGAAGAATGAGTTGAGTAAAGTTTATTAAAGACTTATCTGACTGTTTGGTTTCGCTTAATGCGCCTTATAAACCCGTGCACCTTATGGTCTGAAAAATACGGTAACTTATCTTTCTTGTAGAAATGTGCTCCAAATAAAGAACTTTGTGTTGACAAGATTGTTAGTTAATCACTTACAAATCAATATTGTCTGTATGGACAGCAGTTAAAAACAAAGTGAACATGTAAAGCTGCGGCGTTAAGCGATGTGGTTGAAAAATTTGTGTGCACGTAACTTTTGTTACTTTTGTTGTTAGGTGCACCAGTGCAGCCATGGCAAAACGTTAGTCTAGAGACCTGCCTGAGTCTCCTTAAGTTTGCAGTTTGAGTTAGGTAGTAAAAGTAGCCAATAACATCCTGGTTAAAGATGTCCTGGATTAAGATACTTCAGGTATAAGAGCTGAAGTGGTCGCTGTCACGCAACTTTTCCACTAAAACGAGGTTTTTATTCTGCGGGTAATCCATGTTCAGGTCGTAAATCACACCCATGACTCTCTCTGCTGATGTCATCAAACTCAGGTATGGTAGGCGGAGCCAGAAAATGAAGGGGGATGCTGAACCCGAGGAGGTGGAGCCAGATGCAGGTATGCTACCCCTGCTGGACCCAGACGAGGGGGACTATGTGTATATGAGAAGAAGGAGGGGAAGGAGGCGGAGCTTCAGACTGGCATCAAGGTGTCAGGTGAGTCGTGTGACTTAGAGCGCTGTCAGTTCCTGCAAAAGAACAAGGTCTCATCTGCACTGTTCCTGCAGGTGGTGAAGGTCAGTCACAGCACTCAGACAGTCCGATTGGTCGTTCCCGCCGTGCATCAGCTATCCCCTGAGGCCCCACCCATCGACTACCCACAAGCCAATCCAGAGGCAGCTGAGAGGACACCTGTGCCAACGTGGTGTTCTCTCCCTTCGTCGTACTCCAGCATCATCACACCTGTACAGCCACGCACTTCGCTGGTCTACCTACTCTCCTCCCCATCAGGCTCCGCCCCCAACCGCATGTCAGCGTTAGGCTCCACCCACAAACGCTGCAGAAAGAAACGGCGCCCGCTGGAGCAGCAGGGGTTAAAGGTCAAATACAAACGACTTCCTGTCCGGTTCTACGACCCCGCCTCCAACCGTATCCTCAAGAACCCACCCAGAGGCCTCCTATGGCGCAGAGGCTCCACCCCCTCTGGGCCACCGCCGCCCTGTGTTCGTCAGCTGTTCAGGAGTCTGAGCCCGGACCTGAACACCGATAGAACGCCCACAGAGGTCAAAGGTCACAGCAGCAGCCTTTTGCTAAGCACGCTAAGCAGGGACTCTGCTCAGTCCGACATAACTCAGGCTCCGCCCCTCAACAGGCTGTCAGAGAGCAGAAGAGGGGCTAGAAGGGAGAGGGCACTCCCTCCACCCTCCCAGATACAAACCAGGGGTCAGGCCACACCCCTTCACCCAAGGAGGGAGGGGCTGCGCCGGGCTGGACCTGGCAGGAAACCCCCAATCTCTGCAGGCCCCGCCCCCTTACTGTCATCACGCCGGAGGAGGGGCCGCAGGTCGCGGCGATAGCTGATTTTCAAAATGAAGTCTTATTTTTCATGAAACCTGATGGTGCTGGTTATTGATGGGTTATTGATCAGTTATTCTTGGATAATGTAGCCTTTAATTAGGCTGTTAGAAGTGTATGGAAGCCTGCTGGTGCCAATTTTAAAATGAAAACTGAATCCATTTATCATTTTTACTGTGTTTGTAGTACGACTTGCCTGTCCAGGTGTGTTTTAAATGCCAGGTTTGTTTTGGCCATAATGATGTTTTCAAATCTGATTGTTTTAAAATGTTAATTTTTAAAGTTAAAAATCTAAATATAAAGTTTAATCTGTCCATTTTGAAGAGCTTTTATTGTTTTAATTTAATTATTTTAAAGTTTTATTTGGGAAGCATTGGAATAAAAATTATGAATGGATTTTATTTATTGTGTGTAAACAAAATTCGGATGAAATGTTAAAAAAATATGACAAAAGAAATTTCATGTTTTATTTAAATTCATGTTTGTAAAACATCACATGAAACATGACGACTTGATGATGATCCTGGCAGCTTCACGTCTCCATAGAAACACGTTATGTTTTGGTAACTTTTCTACAGGTGAACTTTGATACTTTTTGTATCTGTGCATTTATTTAATGTTTAAATAAAGTTTTCTAAGCTGGACGAATCAGCTGGTGAGTTTGTTTCCATAGCGTCGACCAGGTGGAGCATCGAGTCTCCCACCTGCTCAGCAGCCTGCAGAAGCTCCGCCCTCGTCCTCTCACCTGGACACAGAGTTAGAAACATGATGTAACATTAATTTTAGTGTTTGAAGGACAAAGTTATCAAAGAGATGAAGAAGAAAGGACTTGTGCTAACTGGCTTGGCAAAGAGACTGAGCTGGAAAGGATATGCAGCAGGTGTAAATGATGCACTGACTGTTACAGGTACTGACTGTCAGGTGTGTGCTCACCTGATAGGTGAGTCTGACCTTAGGCAGTCATTTCCGTTTCCTTCTGCAGTCTCAGTCACCTGTCTGTGCCTCACCTGTCTGAGTCCACCTGTGTGTCTCCAGCGCAGCCTTCAGTCGTTCTACAGTCCCCTGCAGCAGCGTCTCTGAACTACGTGGCCCATGTTCCTCCTCTTCTTCAGACAGACTGTTTCGTTCTCCTTGTAGCTCCGCCTCCTCAGGGCCATGCTGTAGCTCTACTGGATGATGTGGAGACATGCGACCTGCAGACTCCTCACAGTCTCCATCAGGTGAGGGAGGTGAGCCCTGGTGGATTGTGGGAGATGTTTGAGTTTGAAGTTCTTCCTGGCTCCACTCATCCTCTATCTCCTCTTCCTCCTCTGTTTCTTCTTCTGTGCTTTTCAGAGTGTCAGAAGTTGGCGTGATGGTTCCTCTTTCTGTGTTCTCCGTGTTGGCACTGTTTGGCATGTTGCTGGCGTGTTGTTGAGCCTCCATCTTGTTCAGAGCCTGAAGAACAACATTTTCAGCTACAACTAATAGAAGGCACCTCAGCAGTCATCAGCCAATCACTCCGCCCACATCCACTCACCTGTGTGAGCATGCCCTGCAGTTGAGCATTGTACCGCGTCAATGTTTCCACAGTAACTTCCATCTCAGAGCACCTTTCCTCCAGGATGCCCTGCTCGGATTGGACAGTGAGCCGAAACGTTTGGAGCTCCTGCTCCAACAGCCTGATGGGGAAAAACAAACAAACAAACAACATAAGGTAGCAAACTAAAACAAAACAAGATAAAAAGAAACAAACAAACATAAACACGAGGCTGATAAAACCATCTGGCTCTGTTTTTCTTTGTTCTCACCATCGGTCCCTCTGTAGGTTCTTCACGTCTGTCAGCAACGCCACTGTCTTCAATGCCAAACACACACAGTCACATGACTGTTGCTATTACATAATTTTTATGACATCACAGTACACAGTGAGTTCATCACGTCACCTGCTGACTGGACGTGTCCTCATTCGTCTGCAGAGATTTACACGAAGAAGAGCAGTGAGGAGGAGGAGCCTCTGAGGCGGCATGTGAAACACCCCTCTCAGAGGAGGGGCTGTGAGACGAGCCAGCCAATCGTGTTGAGGCATCAGAAGCAGGTGGTGCTCTGAGGGGAAAAGAAATGTAATTATAATAAGATACCTAACGAGGGGGGTCGTATTATGAAAGTGTTATTTTCACACCTGTTCTCCGTCTCGCTTGGCTCCTCCCACATTAGGACCCTCTTCCAATTAGCTTCTCTCTGAGTGTGTCGCCGTGGCAGCAAGGCGTGATGAGCACTGCGCACCAACGAGGTTAGAGACTCTCTCCAGGTGGGCTGGTATAGAATGACAACTGAACTGAACAGGTTATTACGTCTTCTACAAGCGTTACCCCTCCATGTGCACCTGTGGGGATTTACCCCTCGCTTCCTCTCTGCGTCCTCTTACCTGTCAGGCTTTCACCTATTACTCCTGTTACCTTTGTCTCCTGTCACCTGTTCCTCTTACCTGTACTGTTAAATGAGTTCTTACCTGTGCCCCCTGATACCTGTTCTGTTCCCTGAGCTTCCTGATACCTGTTCTGTTCCCTGTGCTTCTTGATACCTGTTCTGTTCCCTGAGCTTCCTGATACCTGTTCTGTTCCCTGTGCTTCCTGATACCTGTTCTGTTCCCTGAGCTTCCTGATACCTGTTCTGTTCCCTGTGCTTCCTGATACCTGTTCTGTTCCCTGAGCTTCCTGATACCTGTTCTGTTCCCTGTGCTTCCTGATACCTGTTCTGTTCCCTGAACTTCCTGATACCTGTTCTGTTCCCTGTGCTTCCAGTTACGTGTGTTCTTACCTGCTTGCAGAACTCAAGCACTGGATGGTGGGTTTTGTGTTTCCTGGTCTGGCGGTCAGTCAGGAAGCAGCTCTGACACACATGGACGTTCACACACTTCATACATCGATACCTGAATACACAGGTAAATCTTCGTCACACATCTGGACCGGGTTTACCCAGTTTCCAGTTTAAAATGTACATCACCTGAGCCCAGTGAAGGGGCGGGTCTTACAGATGTGACAGCGAACATTGTGCTGGACGCTCTGACTGGCTGACAGCCGGTACAGAGTGGATAACCATAGCAACAGGCATGGCTCACTCTGCAGCCATGACAACAGATGATGCTTGCTCACCGTTGGGGTCAACACCTATAAACACACATAACATGTTAACCATGACGATGGCCAATCACAGCCAGGTGTGCGTTTGTGTTCTCACCCCTTTAAAACACGACTGAACCGCCGCCTCCAAATCGTCAAACACGACTTCCTCCTGAACTGCCGCAGGAACCTGAAAACACACGTTACAGAGAGCAGCAGCAGAGGCATGTTGGGAAATGTAGTGTGAGCTTTTTACCTGGATGAGGTCCATCAGCAAACACCTGAGTCCAGGCTTGCTGATGGATCCTGAAGGGGTTGTCGAGACCTGCAGCAGACCTGAAAACACCCGAGCTTTATTCTACAGGGCTGTGCATTTTATTGTGAAGGGCTGTACATTTTATTGTGAAGTGCTGTGCATTTTATTGTGAAGGCCTGTTATAGAGCAGTGTATTGTCCTCACCTCTGTACTTTAGCAGCAGGTTATCTGAGGACAGAGCGATAAGAGCAGTTTGAAGAGAGCGAGCTGAAACTTCATCGGACTGACTGCTGCAGCACACGCACACGCACACACACACACACACGCGCACACAGATTGTTACTCTGACTGGGTGCAGTCCTGTTAGTACTATGAGCACTACAAGTAATGTGATACTGTGAGTACACTGACCGGTCAAACAACCTGAACATCAGACTGCATGTCTCCTCGGTAGCTGCTGCAGTCACATGAAATGGCACGTCCTGTGATGCGCTGTGGAACATCCTGTTCAGAGCGCAGGTCACTTCCTGTCTGCTCATTGCGACGTCACTCTGAGCTCCACCCCCCGAGTGGAGAGCCGCTGTGACGTGTCGCACCAACACGGTGTCCACTAGAAACAGACAGCGATGTCACCGTAACATCTGAACATGTACAGGTCAGAGGTGAGCTCATGAAGTCAGCTGACTCTCAGGGCATACGTGCCAACCCTCCCGATTTTACTGGGAGAATCCCGAATTTCAGTGCCCCTCCCGAAAATCTCCCGGAGCCACCATTCTCCCGAATTTCTCCTGATTTTCCACCAAAACAAAATGAAAACAAAAATGAAAAACCATATCCCTGAATTCATAGCGCGGCCCAGCCAATTCCAGTTTCCAAAAATGGTAAATGGACCGGCTTACATAGCGCTTTTCTACTCATCTGAGCACTCAAAGCGCTTTACACAACTAGTGCATTCACCCATTCCTAAGTGCTTCATAGCTAACATTCACACACATTCATACTCCGATGGATGCATCGGAGAGCAATTTGGGGTTAATATCTTGCCCAAGGATATTTGGCACATAGACTAGGGGAAGCCAGGAATCGAACCACCAACCTTCCGATCAGTGGATGACCTGCTCTACCACCTGAGCTACAGCCATCCCACCAATGGCGGCAGCTACTTAGTTTTAACATTACTCTTATTACTCTTTCTGGGTTGCAAAATAAGCTTTTAGCATATTTTCAGGCGAGAATGTAGCTGTGTAAATTTCAAATATCTAAGCCGGCGAGAACAGTAAACTCCCGGCAGATCGTTTTCAAACCCCAGCGGTCTTTGGCTACTCAGGTTAAACGTGATATATAAGGCACACAGATAACCTAAAAATGTCATTGTTTGACTTTTTTCAGTGTTTTATTTGTTCCTGAGTAAATTGGTTTGGCTGAGATTAAAGTTATTAGATTAGATTAAATAAAACTGTATTAATCCCTCGGGAGGGTTCCTCTCAGGGTTTTCACACAGCTGAATAAACGTCAAACAGAAAACTGATGAAAAAGAAGCGTGAGATGGTCGAGAAGTTATGTCAGCGTCCGGTTATATTTAGGTAGCAAGGAGCAGAAGGCAGAGTTTCACTCCACTGAGAAAGCTCGTGACATATTTTTGAGGGCTAGACCGGCACAGTCGCTCACTTCTGGCCTACCTGGCTTTCAGGGTACCCGGCCCACTTAGACCATGAAGGCCGGGTTCTCAGGTGGATGCAGCCTCTGAATTTGGACAGCCCCGGCTGGGGGACAGTAATAACTTACTTTAAATACAATTTTAAATAAGTAAACACTGTGAAATTCAAGTTTTCTGTATATGTATACCTAACCTCCCCCCTTTATGGAATGTCTCCCTAATTCTCAGGTCTCAAGGTTGGCAAGTATGTCTCAGGGTCAGTGTTAGAGCTGAACATCTGACTGTACAAGAGTACACGCAGTGCTACACAGAGTACATTAAGTGTACTGCAGTATATGTATAGTACTCTGTGTAGCACATGTACTGCAGTACATGTGCTACACAGAGTACTATACATATACTGCAGTACATTTACTACACAGAGTACAGTACATATACTGCAGTACATGTGGTACAGAGAATACACTCAGTGCACTGTTACCCACGGCAACAGAGTCTCTGCAGAGCCTGGAGCTTCATGGCAGTTCTGTAGCCCGATGGACAGATTTGATTGAAACTCTCTGATAAACAGGAAGCAAACATCTGGAAACACTGGGGAACATAAACATCTGGAAACGCTGGTGAACATAAACATTTGTGTGAACTTCATTGTCTCTGTGTCAATGCTCAGGTTCATGTACATCAGGCTTCATTTTCTTCTTACTCTTTGTACATATATGTATTGTTTGTTTGATTGATTGATTTGATTTGATTGATTAGCATTCAAATATCTCAGTGAAGCCAGAACAAAGATCTACCACAAAGCAAGAAAGCACGAGACAAGGCTAATCAAAAGGTACTGGCTGAAGCATTTGCTTATTACGCCAACCCTTTTAACAAAAGATCTTTTTGCATGCAGCTCCTGTACACAGGGCTCAAAGCAAATAATAAAACAAAGCAAAAACAAAACAAACAAACAAACAAGGAAAAAAACAAAAACAAAAATAACAACAACATGTATTTGTGTGTACAAATACATGAAAGTAAGCCGTTTGTAGTGAAAATGTTTGAGTCTTATGATGACCATCAGCACTGTCAAAGGATCTCATTCAGACTGCTATCAGAGCTCCTCCATCCTCCCTGAACTCAGGCTCACCTGTCAGGCAGCACTCAGGGATCATCTTACACAAACACCCTGCTCTGAATACATAATTGAAGACAGTGTGACACTTTACTTTCAGGATGTTGATCTTAACGAACAGAACAAAGAACAGACATATTTCTATTCTGTCTCTATTTGCTTTCTGTTTGCTGTCATCTCCTCACACACAGGCTTTTGTTTTTTAAACATGTAGTTGAACCTGAGCTCAGCGGGTTTCAGGTTTCACTGAACAGTGAGGCGATCTTACCGATGGAGTCTGGATCCATGATGAGTCTGAAACACAGAATAAGCTCATTGTTGATCAGTGAGCAGCTCTTTGTGTTTCATTCAGAACATGATTATTGCCAGTGATTAATGATTGATCACGATTAAAGTTACAGTTTAATTCAACAGAGAAAAGAAACTTTAGTAACTTCAGTGTGTTTTAAAGTGCTGACTGTTTGTTTAGTTTCATGAATAATACTTTAAGTCATTCATGTATGAATTTATGTTTTATGAAGTTCACAGAGACTCAGACTTACTAACCTCTAACTAAAAGGCTGTTCCAAAGTATTCACATTACATCCATCAGTAATCAGATTACAGGTATGTGGTTACTGTGTTACAGAGGTTCAGTTATATTTGCGCACTGGGGGGATAGAAATAAATAAATAAAAACAGAGCAAACAAACTTGTGTTTCAGATGGGTGGAGATGTGAGAATCATCAGTGCCACCGAGCAGGCAAGGAAACTCTGCAGAACTCAAACTACTAAAGTTTTGATCGTTCAAATATCATCACAATACTTAAACAGATGAGTTCTAACACTGCTGTCTTCCATGTTTCCTCTCTGATCATCCTCACTGGATTACTACAAAACTGTACTGCACATGCTGTGAATAGAAAGCACAGAGTTCATGCTGCTCTGCTGTGTCGTGGTGTTTATGGAGATGTGAGGTCAGAGTGAATCTCACATTAGTTATAGATTATGAAACAAAAACAGTGACACTCGGTCAGGAACTCATCAAGGAACGAGCGCAGATCTTTAAATGCTCTCATGATTTCAGCACCAGAATAAACCGAGGATCAGACTTTGGGCTCAGCAGGAGGAGTAGACAGGAAGCAGGTCAGTGACCATGGTAACTGAGTCAGACTTTAGCGTTCTTTGTTTTCTAGGCTAACCCTGCTCCTGGATCAGCACAGATACTCTGGACTGTGGTGGACTCTTGTCTCATCCATGAGGAGGAGGAAGAGAGTTTGTCAGTGAGAACCATAGAAACAAAGACAGACAGAGACAGTAGAGTCTAAGTAGACACAGACTCACCTCCGTTCACTCTGTCCCAGTTGAAACCCAAGCATTGGCTGCTGAAGACACAAAGTGAAGCTGCTGATGGATGAAGGTTTGTGGACCAATCCGCAGCCAGCAGAGTGTGACATCAGCTGCTTGCCAGAGCTTCATGATTTATTTAATCTCCGACTAACGATTCCCAGCCAGTCACAGCTTTAGTCATGCATTCTGAGCTTCTGACATGAGAGGGCACCAAAACCCAGCCATCAGCCTTTGGTGAAGCTCAGAGACATTTATGAATGTCTGCCAGAGAAACTGAGAAGAAGAGCTTCAGCTGAGCTTGTCAGGGCCAGTGGCGGTCCTAGCCTGTTTGGCACCCCGGGCGAACACTCCCTCTGCCCCCCCCCCCCCCCCCCCCTCCACACACACACATAAAGCATATTAAGGATTGTACATTAACATAAAACTGTTGTCGGAACCAGACTGAATTTCACCAGAGAAACACACACATGAAGAGAGAAAGAGTGTGATTTGAATGCAAACAGCCATCATAATTCATCATACAATGAGAACAGGACATATCAACAACTGACAGTGACTAATTAATATTAAAAATCTGTAACATAATGTTTGGAGTTTAGTCTGTTACTGTTACTATTTTTACCATTTCTTCTTGGAGCAACTGTAATCCACATAATTTCCTTAGGGATTAATAAAGTATTCTGATTCTGATTGTTTCAGGATGACCTGCCATTATCCAATCACACATCTGCTTACCTGCATCTTTTGCTCGTTTCTCCTCCTCTTCTTTTTTATTTTTTCTAAACTGAGCACATGATGGCTTTGAAAGTTTCTTGTCCATCTTCTATTGGTTTTAATTTTGCACTCCAGTATGAACACAAATCCCCCAAATCGAGGATCACCGCAACATAACCTAACAGACCTACACCTTAGTTCACAGATTCACTTTGTCTAAGGTTTATTTCTGGGATTTCACACAACCCAGGAGCGTCATTTACCTGACGCTCCTGGGTTGAACTATCACAAAGGGTCCTGGTGAAGAATCTGCTGGAATTTGGTGACAGGCTTCAAAGGTCAAGAAGACCAAGAAGGTATAACACACTGCTGCTGTCACCGAGCATGTGTGACAGCAGCAGCTACAGATGTGTTGGACAGCGTGTTTATTTTATTTATATTTGTGTGAAACACCATGCCCCAGAAAACACCATGTCCCAGAAAACACCATGTCCCAGAAAACACTATGTCCAGATGAGCATTTTTGGCATTTGTTTACTTGGATGACTGAGCATCAGGACACATGAAACACCATGAGTTTCACATTCATGATTTGATGCTGATACTTGCAAACTTCAGGTTCATGAACATATTGTAGCTACATTTTTTTATTTAGAAGAGCTGTAAACCTTTCCCACTGAAAGCAGCACAATCCCACTTTGAAAACAATATTTTCATTAAATGAATTCTGGGTAAATCAAAGTATTATCAAAGCTGTCTGTCCATCTTTTCCTCCTTAACAGATCCATCCTGTCCTGGCAGTCTGCAGACACAGAAACATGGACAAGGAGGTGTTTGTCCAGTAGCAGCAGCAGCAGGGACTCACTGCTCTGCTACATTGATAAAACTTTTCATTTTACAAAAACAGTCTTATTTTCCAGTTGATCTGGATTCTCTTTGTCACCACGTATTTGCCACTGTATAGGTAGCTGTTATATTTTGTGTTGGAAATATCTAGAATGTATTTTAATTGTTTTTAACAAGTACAGAGAACGGCTGTCTGTACTCCCCCTGTTCTCCTCTCCATCTCTCAGCTGCTGCTGGCTCCTTTTTCTCCTCCTCTTCCTCACACACTGCTGGATCTGTCCTGGTGTATCATCAGGGATGCAGTGTCACAGGCCGACAGGAAAAACTGGACTCAAACGCAGAGACAGCACATACATTTTACAGTGTTTCATTAAGAAAACAGATTTATTCGTAGTAAAGTGTTTTTAGAGCTGGACGTGGCCGTGGGTCAGTGAGGGTAAACTGATAATTGACAGGTGTGACTGGAATGGAGCGGGTACATTGATAGCTGAGGTGAGCATGGCTTTGAGGAAGAGGCGAATAATGGCAAAGAATGGAGAGCCAGTGTCCCATCTCCTCTCACCTTCTCAGTCTCTTCTGACTCTGGACACTTGCAGAAAGAAAACAAACCATGGCAGTTAACAACAAAAGAAACAGGAGGAGGACTTCTCCATTTACTGTCTGTCTCATTATTAGTGGTTTATACTGGATAAGAGCGCTTTAAGGACAAACTTCAGCACAGCATGGTTGAGTCTGTGTCTTCACCACAGTCCACGGGCAGCTGTTTGGCTCCCATAAATACACTTAGCTTAAAGAGTGAACTGTCTGCTCGGTTTATCCTAAAACGTTTAAGTTCGTTTGGCTTCACATCGAAAAGGGCGACTGTGGCTCAGGGGGTTGGGAATCGCATCTGTAACCGGAAGGTCGCCGGTTCGATCCCTGGGCTCTCTGTCCTGGTCGTTGTGTCCTTGGGCAAGACACTTTACCCTACTTGCCTACTGGTGATGGCCAGAGGGGCCGATGGCGCGATATGGCAACCTCGCTTCTGTCAGTCTGCCCCAGGGCAGCTGTAGCTGCCTCCACCAGTGTATGAATGTGAGAGTGAATGAATAGTGGTATTGTAAAGCGCTTTGGGTGCCTAGAAAAGCGCTATATAAATCCAATCCATTATTATAAACAGACCCGGCTAACAAAACTTACTAACAGAGGCATGTGGGGCATGAGCCACTGATTTAGCTCAGTCAAAATTTAGCTGAATTTAATGTTTTAAGATTATTCATTAACATTTGTTCTGTTGGACATCTGAGTGAGATAAAGTGAAATTTGGTGGTTTTGTTAACAAGTAGTGTAATTTAAACAAAACAATTATAAATTTTCACAATGAAAGTAGTTAAATCATGTACAGTTTACTTAACATTTGTTAAATTCAGTCATGTTGATATAACTTGATACAATCTAGCCAGGCTGTGGTCATGTGACTCATAGGCAGAAGCTCCTGTGATATCATGAAATCACATGAGATCTCATATCTGTGCAAAATCTGTGCAGTTGTCTCAGAGAGATGGCAGAAAAGTACGGTACAGACTGAGGAGGTAAGATAACACCTGTTGTCTTCATCATGTGTACAAAGTCATCATCAGTTTGTCTGTTTTTAGCTTCATTTGTTGCTTTGCAGTCAGACTGTTTATGCAACGTTAGCTAATGTAAATATACTAATATATCTAATGTAGGACAAGTAGAAACACATATCTTCTTCAGATTTAGGTCTAATACAGTCAAACACATGCACATGGACACATTTTATACTCGACATACATAACAAAGTTTATAAACCTTAAATATATAAACCTGTCTGCTGGCTGAATTTAGGAGAAACATTTCTTTTTGGTTTTTTTAAACCAAATTTCTCTTCGGTTTTAATAAATACACGTTTTTATCTTGTTTTAAATTGTAAGTGTACATTTGCATTATTCCCTCTTTGTTCTGCAACTGTTGCACAATAATTTGCTTTGCGTGTTCATTTATAATTTTATTTATTTATTTATTTTATTTTACAGCAGTCACTGAGAAGATGAGCTCAGAATCACCTTTTAACCCTGCTCAGGTACACCAATGATGTTCCTGGGTCTGTTTGACCCGGGGTGTGTTTAGTTATCCAGAAACCAAAAAGTTCCAATAAACATGTATTATCTCATTAGTAACTCCATTCCTAACCATTTCAATCAATTTTTAGTGTGTGATCTAAATATTGGTGTGTTCTGTTCTGTCATATAAAATAATATAATGTTCATTACATTGATTTTCTTTTCATTTTATTTCTCTTTTTTATGGAGTAATAAAAGCTGCCAACTTATCTCTCAATAATCAAATCAGATTAACCTGGAGAACGTATGAAGTCTCCAGAGACACCAAACATATTCCTAGACTTGTAGTCAAGATCGCCTAAACCAAGACCAAGACAATACCAAGACCAGAGGGTATCGAGACCAAGACAGACCGAGTCAAGACTAAAACAAAGTTGAGACAAGACCAAGACTGAGGCGGAGACAAAAAAGTCTTTAAACTGCAGCCAGATGCTGCTTCGTTTACGGGTGTCGGGCATATTTATGTGTTTTTGCACTGGCACAGCCCTCCTCACCGCTGTCTACTGTCTCAATCACTCACTGAGAGGACAGACGTATGCTCCACTTGACTGTCGTGTCTCTCACCCTCTCTGTTTTTCACATAATGATATTATCCTATATCCTCACATGTGATTGGCCACAATATGGAGGGATTGGAGCATAGCTGAGCCACTGTGTGAGAGCTGAGCAGCCAAAGGAAATTAAGTGAGGAGCGGCTCTCGCTCAATGGGAGTCGACTCTTCTGATTCACTACAAAGCGCTCTGTAAGCACGGCTCTTAGAGCTGATGCTTCTGCGCATGGCACATTATCGAACGTTACGTTCATGGATACTGTTGACTCCAAATCTCCCGACCACTATGTCAATCTGAGACAGCAAGACCGGTCTCAAGATATCCAACTCTACATATCCCTCTGTGTCTCACAGACTGGCTGTTGGTTCATCCTTTGAGTTACAGTGGTGTGAAAAAGTGTTCGCCCCCTTCCTGACGTCCTCTTTTTGTGTTTGCCACACTTAAAGGTTTTAGATCGTCAGACAAATTTAAGTGTTAGAAAAGATAACACAAGTAAACACAAAATGAAGGTGTTTAATATTGAGAGGGGAAAAATGCAAATCCTCAAAAGTCCTCCTTTGGGGAGGTCAAAGGTTGGTCCATATAACATGGTGGAAAGTCCGTCACACAGCACTTACCTCCACTGTTCTCATCATCAGAGAAACAGTTTGCTTCAGTCTTCCTCTGATTTAATTGGTTCAGACTTCAGAGTCAGCTGACCACAGAAGGCTGCTGCTGCAGACTGTGACCACCAGAGGGTGCCAACACAATTTATCAGGATCAATGATTTGGAGCAGGGTGAGAGATGAAGTGAGCAGTAAACGAGAATAAATAAAGAGGTGATGAAATCGATA